TCCTACAGGAAAATAAAAGTCTCATTGGGATTAAAGCGGAAAGGTGTTTAAAACGTGCGGCAAAAGGGCAGGTCCCTGGGCCTGGCAGTCGCTCAGCAGTGTTGGCTTTCCAGCATCAGGCAGTTGCTAATAAAAATGTGACTTCCCTGAGCAGCACCCAGATCTCCTGTGAGGGTCCCAGAGCATGGGGGTGCCCCATCACCTCCGGCACCCCCCGCGCAGACCCACCACTCATCAATAGAGCTCCCTGCCAGCCCTGCCGTGGAATCACAGGAAATCAGGGAAATCTTGTCAAAGCAGTATCTTGTGGGTGTTTGCTGGCACACAGTTGGGTGGGATGTGCTCTCATGCCCATGGGTGCTGGGGTGGGTGAACAAGCAAGGGCTGGCTGAGCCACAGCCGGGGCAGGGGAGGTGCTGGCAGTCCCCTCTCCCGGCTTTTGCCTCTGCAGCCAGAGGGAGATCCCAGCTCTTTTCCTCACTCCCCATTCCCTGCCCTCTGTTCCCGGTCCCCCTTTCCCACTCCTGCTTAGCAGCAGGAAGCCGCCTGCCAACAAGAACGCTGCAGCTCTGCAGTTTCCACCCCGGCGGCAGCCAGGACAGGGCGGCCCCACTTCCCCCAGCTGCCAAGGGGCTCCTCCACGGCTGTGCGATCCACCCTTTCCTCAGGGAAAGGGTTTCCCAGCAGCCCATCCTTGATCCCGTGAGTGTGCGGCGAACGCAAGCACAGCCAGGCAGCTGCCTGCGCCCCAAGCTGCCCTTCTGATGTGCGGGTTGGGCTGGGAATGCTCGGCCACCTCACTCCCGGGCTGCTCTTAAGCCTTGCGGCAGCAGCCCTTCATCCAGCCTTGCAGGGCCTCCCTGAGACCCACGGTGCACGTAAAACAAAACAAACGGCCAGAAAAGCAGGGCTAGAAAATTGTTGCTGAGGCAGCCCAGCCCATCGGTACATTCGCAGGGCGTTTGCGTTTCCTATCAGGAAACGTATCGGTGCGTTATGGTTTCTGGCATGCGGTGCCGTGCATTAGACTGTACAAATAATAACAAAAAGGGGTATTTTTGTCACTTTTTTTTTAGTCCATCATGATTCAGCAAAAGAGTTGAGGTCTGTGGAGTCAGCAGAAATTCAGGTGCTTTCAGTGTGCTGTGGGTTGGGCAGCTGGAGATTTCCGTATTACAGGAGAGCAAGTGTGGCGAGCTGCTTTGGCTGGGCTCGGCTGCACCCCCCTCCCTGCTTCCTCCTCTGGAGCTGCGTAAGGGTAAACTGGAGCTCTAGGGTCCTGGTTGGGTCTCCCCACTAAACCTCCCGGAGAGGTTTCCTACCCCACCTCCCAGCCAAGGGATCTGCACAGCTAGAAACCTCTTATCCAGATGTTCCTAGAAAAAAAGCAAGGGAACAAATCATCTCGGGTCAGATCCTTTGATGGATCCCTGAGATTTTCTGGACACCACCTGGTGTGGAGAGCTGACCCCAGATGGTTCCCATTCCCCAAAGGAGCAAAGCAGTGTGCCGGTTCCCCTCGGGCAGTAAGAGGAGCCATGCTGTGCCCCTGGAGGAGCTTGCTGCAGGGCCCGTGGTTACAAAGCCTTCTCATAAAGTGTGTTTGGTCTGTAAATAATCCTGTCCTCAAAGTGATGCCTCGTGTCAGAGGACATTTCACAGAGTGCATCATAACTCACAGCTGTGTGCATGCTGCCGGGGGAGCACAGCATGTGTGTGCTCTCTTGTTGCTGCCCCGGGTGCAGAATGTGTAAGCACACGGTGGCACGATGACATTTACAGTTCTAAGTGACACTGACCTCTACAGCCAGTGAACTAGATGCCTTTTATTTATCTGTTCATGTACCTTGCCTCGTTCTGCAGCTGTACGGAGTGTGCGGATGAGTCCCTGACTCTCTTGCAAATGAGCTTGGGGTTGACCAGGCAAACGGGGACATGGGGGACCCTGGCAGGGCACCGTCGGCAGCAGCGACCAGCCTCAGCTGCCCAGCCTCTGCACGTCACGCAGTGGCACAGCCGCGTGCTTGGCATTTATGTTATGGTTGTGCCTCAAGTGCCCCAGTGGTCTCTCAAAACCAGATCCCCTTGCCTACACACAGCCCATGGCAAAACACCGGGCTTAGTTTTCCAGGCAAACTGGGCAGCTCCGTCCAGTGTCACATCTCTTTCAGATCCTCTCCATCCCTCCTGTTGTGGGGTAGCCGGGTGGCTGCACTGGGGGAGCCCCTGCCCGCTGCCATCCCTCCCTCGGCATGCCACGGGCACCACGCAGCCCTGGAGCACGCTGTAAATAGTCGGAAGCGATGAATGGATTTCCCCTTCCTCCCCATGTGTGTTTTAGATTTTTGGCCGGATACAGCATGGACTCAGGACACACCAAAACATGAGGCTCGCTCCCCGGCAGCCCTGGCTTTCACGTGGGAACAGCTCGGTTTGTGAAGCAGTATGAGGTTTGGTGGGTGAAGCTTATGGTGATTTCCTGGGGAATGCCTTTTTTTTGCCAGGCAAAGAGCTCGGAGCCCACCGGAGCCCAAGAAAGCCTTGTGGGGCTACATGTGGGACCCCCTGGGGCTGGGGGGCAGCGGGGCCGTGCCATGTCGCACCCGTGCCAGTGCCTGTGCCAGCGCTGCGCATGGGAAAAAGCACTCAGGGAAAGCTGAGCTTTCTGCTGCTTTCCGCTTCCTCCCAGACATGTTTACTGCAACATGGAAGGTTTTCTTCCCTGGCAGCGGCCGCCCTGCAGTGCAGGCTGGCCAGCTTTTTGTCGCCCTGCCTGTGCTCCCGCTCAGCCCCTTTCAACCCAGACAGCAGTCCTGCTGCAGGAGTGAGTTGGGCCCCGGCACAACACAGAGCCCAGGTGGGGCCGTGCCTCGGCACCTCGGCTTGTGGCAGTGGGAGGCTGAGGTGTCACGAGACATGTACGGCCTCAGCATTGCCGCACGCCACTTGCCGGGGGGAGAGCCTGTGCAGGGCAGCTCCCGCCAGCTCCTGGAGTCAGGCCCAGACAGCAGTCCTGCTGCAGGAGTGAGTTGGGCCCCGGCACAACACAGAGCCCAGGTGGGGCCGTGCCTCGGCACCTCGGCTTGTGGCAGTGGGAGGCTGAGGTGTCACGAGACATGTACGGCCTCAGCATTGCCGCACGCCACTTGCCGGGGGGAGAGCCTGTGCAGGGCAGCTCCCGCCAGCTCCTGGAGTCAGGGCCGTCTCCAAACAATGGGTGGAGAGCAGGAAACGCCGCATGGGAAACAGGATTTGGCTCCGCCACCGCCGCCAGCCACGGCCCCTTGGCCCCTTTCCTTTCCCTGCTCCAGAGAGCCCTTCCCACAGCCGTCGGCCACGGGGCTGCGCCGAGGGGACAGGGATGCTGCCGCCTGGGCGGGCTGGGGCATGAGACCCTCTGCATGGTGGGTGACGAGGGGGGTCAGGACACCTTCCAGCCGGGCTGGGGGCTCAGCATGGCTCGGGGAGCCCTGAGCCCGCAGCCCTAGCCCTGAAGGGGTGGGCGCCTGCTCCCCAGGAGAGCTGCCCCTGGGCTGGGGACCTCAGTGGCCTCTTTGCCACCAAGCCCTGCTCCTGAGCAGCCGGGTGGCCACCAAGCAAGCGGAGACAGGAACATCTTCCTCACCGTGCCCAGACTATGCGCCAGCGGAGGTGGTCCCAGCTGCCCCGGACACTGAGCAGCAGGGCAGAGGCAAGATGGGGGGTGCAGGCAGGGAGCAGGGGTCCTGAGCCGCCACTCACGTGGAGCCCCTAGGCACCCCCGGCCTCCGGCTCCAACCCCCGTGGCTGGGACATGCTGGGGATTTTCTGACTTGTGCCAGATTCGGGACACGCTCCAAGGACATGGGACTCCACGTTTATCTTCTGCTTCTCCTCCCGCAGCTGGCAGGTAAATTGCCCCTTTCCCTCTGCTCCAGGGAGCAGCCCTGGCCCCAGAGACGCTTGGTGGGATGAGGTGGCTGCAGGAGCTCGGTGGCGCCATCAGAGCAGGGTTTGGAGGGAGGAAACATCTCTTTGCAATCGGCCATTTGGAGACCTCAGAGGCCGGCAGTGCCCTCCCCTGCCTGCCTCTCCCCGGCATGGGGCTGGGATGCCGGCAGCTCGCAGGAGGAGAGGGGCCCCGGGACCCCCATCCTACTGCACGCTTGGCTCATGTGGGGGGGCTGAGCCCATGGGGATCTCCAAAAGGAGAGTTGAAATGCCCACCATGTCATCCCGATGGGTCTGCACCCGATCTGGCTGTGCCCTGGTTGTGCCTCCGGGGGTGGGGGTGGCAAAAATGTCCAGAAAAGGGGGTGACATCTGGATGATGGGGTCTGGCCCTGAGGCAGATGGCTGTGCCCTTGTCCAGTCGTGATGTGCCCTTGTGCTCCCCCACCCCAGGGGCCATCCTGGACATCACCCTGATCGCCAACGTGCAGAGCCTGTCCCACTCTGACTTCTTCCTCTCCTGCGTCATGGGGGAGCGCGACGTGAGCTACCTGCAGATCGAGCGGGAGAACAAGATTGTGATGACGCACCCCAAGATGGGCTTCCAAAACTACCGCAACCGCAGCAACCAGGTCCAGGCCAGGGGCTTCTCCATGGCCGACCTGGTGGGGATCCTCTACTGTCTG